TTTAACCTAACAAATCCCCTCTAGATTGCAAAATTTTCATCAAGTGTGACCCTGCTGGACTTTCTGAGTACCTTACTGCCTTCGATTTAATTTGATCGAACTGTAGCCATATTGGTTCAACTCTTGTACTGTCTAGTACTTGGACACCTCTCTGGATTAAGTCCAGGACATTCCACCACTCTAGCTGGTTCTGTGTAGATGGCACCATTGAACTGGTTCAAAATGCAGCAGCAAGATATCAATTTAGTATTGTTTGCAGGCAATGTATTTCACCAAGACATTGCTAGCTGCCTGTTTGTTTTTGAGATAAATTCAAGGTGTTGACCTTTAAAGCTCTAAATGGTTTGGGATCAGGTATATTAAGGACTCTCCTGCCAACCTAGCAGTTTGAAAGCAAGAAATTGCAAGTAGATAAATAGGTACCGCTTCGGTGGGAAGGTAACAGCGTTCTGTGCACCTGGGTGTTTAGTCATGGCAGCCATATGACCACAGAAACGTCTTTGGAGAGTGCTGGCTCTTCGGCTTGGAAATTGAGATGAGCACCGCCCCCTAGAGTCGGATTTGACTAGCTTTCGAGCAAGGGAAACCTTTACCTTTATTTAAGGACTACCTGATCCTGGATGAGTGTGCCCCAAGTTTGGGTTAATTATTTCAGAGCCTTTTTGTTGTGGTGCCTCAACAAAAATTATTATTGCTGATTACTTTTATTTATTTGTTAAATTTGTTACTCGCCCAGTCCCTGCTGGTGCAGGGCTTGGGGCGATGTACAACATTCATAAAAACATGTCAAGCTAAAACAAAACATTAATAACACCACCTTCCAAACAGATCAGATGGTGTGTACTAACTTATCCAACTTCGGACTGCTGGCTACATTGCAGGCAGGGGAGAGGAGGGCAAGTCAGATATAAGCAGGGGTCGTTTCATAGAAAAAGAGCTAGGGGAACTCATTAGCATAACTCATTAGCATATGCCACACCCCCTGACATCACCGGAATTGTGTCATAAGGCCACACCCCCTGACATCACCGGAAGTGTGTCATAAGGCCACACCCCCTGACATCACCGGAAGTGTGTCATAGGGCCACACACCCCGCCCCCAACTGTCCGGCCCGCCGCCGCCCTGCCAGCTCCACTGCCGAGCCCCTTGAGGGGCCCGGCGGTGGACCTGCAAGGCCGGCGGGAGTGCAAGGAAGCCCCGCGAAGGCCCTCCCTGGCCCCAGGCAGGCAGGGGTGGGGAGAGGCAGGGAGGGAGCAACTTACCCTCCCTCTTCTCCTGCCTCCTCCTGGCTGAATGAGGGCCGGAAGCGGGGCGGCCGGAAGCAGGGGGCAGGGCTTCGTCATGTGCCCCGTCCCCCGTACCTCACCCGGGGGAACTGCGATCCCCCGCGATCCCCCCCGAAATGACCTCTGGATATAAGAAGCAGCAGGAGCAGAAAAGGGTGCCAGCTAGGATGGAAACCATTGCTTTCCTCAACCAAAAGCCTGGCGGAACATCTCTGCCTTACAGGCACTGTGGAATTGCATAAGGCCCCGCAGGGCCCTGACGGTGTTTGGCAGAGAGTTCTACCAGGTTGGAGCCAGGACCGAGAAGGACATGGCCAAAGACAGCTGGATTGCTTTGGGGCTGGGGAGTAGCAGCAAGTTGTTATCTGAGGAGCATAACACTCTCTCAGAGATGTAACGGAGGAGACAGTCCTGTAGATAAGTCAATCCCTGATCTAACCCAAGTGGCCTTTGACACCCTGGCAGAGTTACTGGGCTTGATTGTGCTTACACCTGGCCCCCAGTGGCCCACTGGGGAAATTCCCTACTTTAAATGGCCAGTCCCTCACTGTCTCTTGACCCCTTTGCCCTGGTGTCCAGCCTGTCTTTCGTTTGTGACTAACTTTGATTTTTATTTTCCTGGGGGTTTTAATCTTTGACTTTAATTTATGGTTGCTGATAGTGTCTTTTAATATCTAGTGGTTTGTGGGGTTTTTTTGCCCCCCATAGGGGATTTTTTATTGCATTTTCTAATAACTACAAACTAAAAACTACAAACAGAAAAAATGGGAAGGGGGGACTACAATCTATAAGAGAAAGTAAATAAAACCCTCTAAAAATCCAAGAAATGGTGTTCATACAAACATTTTACAGAATTACCTTCCCTCTTAAATGCAAGTTAACTTTCGTTGAAAATGATCATCTATCTGGTAAAACATTTCGATCTTTCACCAACAATTCTAACTTCATAAAAAGACTGTGAATATCGATATAAAATAAGCATGTTTTAGGTACTCCAGAGTGCATTAACAATCTATTTTTTCCCCCTTTCTGTGTCTCAATTGATAGCTTGGTTTGGGGCCAACAGCCCCCAATTTAGTCTGAGTCCTCATCAGAAGATCCAGCCTCTCCTTCTTCCTCGCTCTCTTTGGAGCCATCAGTTACTCCTTCTCCTGCTGAGCGACCATGTTGACGCAAAAACTCGCAGGCCTTTTCAACAGAGTCTATCCTTTCTTTACCATTTGCATATCTGAAGTTTATCCTTCGGGTATTAACCATCTGTAGGAAATGTTGTGACTTTGTAGAAATGAAACCAAGTCTCTATATTTCCTTCTCTTCCTTCTTATCCCAAATGGAACGTCTTTCAAAACTTTTATGTCTTTGTCTTTTATCTTCAAGGTAACTCCATTGGTCGCTTTCAATAGTTGATCTCTCTTTTCTTTGGGAGAATCTTATTGTGACTTCCCCTGGCAGATTATTCTTTCTGATAAATTCTGAATACGATCTTTATCTACTGGTATTTTGTACTGACTTTTACAGTGCAATCCTAAACCATGTTACATCCTTCTAAGACTATTGACTTTGGGGCCCTTAGAAGGGTGTGACTCTGTTTAGGATTTTGCTGTCTGTTTTTTAAAACACATTTCATGGGATCTGCAGTTTTGATGATATCTGAAGTGGATTGCCAACTGGTGTTTTAATTGCCCCCTATTTTGGATTAATTTATTATTATATCAATTTTGTATGTTGGAAAGTACCTTCAATACTTTTTAGGGATGTGGAGGTTTATAAGTATAATGAATGAGTGTAAAGAATATGCTGTGCACAGAACTATATATCAGTCCAGAGAAAAAGGCAGAACAGGAGGGGAAGGGGCTCAGCAATGCCATAGAGTTCACCCTCCAAAGCTGCTGTTTCCTCCTACATAGCCTGGAGATCAGTTGAAAGTTTGAGAGAGTGCCTGGCCTCACCTGATGGTTGGCAGCTTTAGAAGTCACCCACCCCCACATTTATTTCCTGATTTGGCACATTGGAACAGAAATGTGTCAAAGTCTCTTATATTGTTTCAGGGTATAAGCTTTTGAGAGTCAAAGCTCAGTGCTCTAGAGAGCAATGCCTTTGTGAGGTTGGCTTTGGGCAATCCACATCCCCCCCCCTCCCGAATTTACCCGAAGTGGTGGTGACAGCCATAAAATGGGGCAAAACAGTACCTAGTCTTGGCCCAAAACGGGTTTACCACATTGGAGCACTTTCCAGATATGCACACTGGTTTAGAATGAAGCTGAGCCAGTCACAGTTTTGAGCATTTTATTATCATGTAGTTTGCTAATAATGGAATCCTGTTTTCTTGCAGATATGTAGCAGTCAAGGAGTTTGCCACTGATCCCCCCCCCCTTTTGTGGGTTTTTGCTATCCAGTTCCTTGCCCATTCTCATATATAAAGGATTTTCTGGACATCATTTAAACATACAGTTGACAATGGAACTTCGTTAAACGGGACGCACATTATGACTGCAAACCAAATCCTACCAATAAGCTTTAATGTAACAATCTCAGTTTATGATTGGCAGCTCCTACGTAGGGCGTGCCATTAATACAAGAGGTCTCTTAGCCATTGGTAGAGCTGGCTACAGCTTTGTGAGTGACAACAAAAGTACCCAATAAGGTTTAAGCATCTTTAATTGCCAATAAAATCAATCCGTGAGAGGCTGTATAAAGCTACAGGACTGTTAGCAGCTCCTGAATGACGTCGTACCCCTCCCAATAGGATTTGACCTTGGCTGTGGGCTAACTCATGATAGTCGAATCAATTACCACGAAAGGCATAGCTCTCAGTGAGGGACATTTCTGCCAATAAATGGCGCGAATCGTTTTACGATCCGCCCATTTTGTAACTGACACAGCAAGCTGCCAATAAGAGACCAGAGGACACTTAAGCAGGTTTCTTCATTAGTGACCGTCGAAGCGTCCAATGAGCGTTACACAATCATTCTGTAGGCTCTTGAATGATATTCTTCTCCGTTTGGTTTTAGTCGCAGCGACACATCTCTTGAAGATCTCTACGTTATGTTCATATAGCATAGCTCTGGAGGATTCTGTCTCCACTCCGCGCCAGCGAAGCTTCTCCTTCAGAATATGCGGCGAGTCCTTCCTTTCTTTGTCACATTTCCCTCATAATAAATGAGGCTGGGTAACGGGTTTGAATGCGAACGCTCTACTTTGATTGCCACATCAAGCCACGAATCGCTGTTAAGTTCGGAGACGCGGGCATGGAGAGGGTAGGGAGAAAGACTAACGTTAGTGGAGAAGACGGAGACCTTTCTTTTGACCGACGTCTAGATGGGCCAACGCACAGTCATCTTGGACGCAAAGCCCGCCTCCCGCGCTTCGACCGGCCAACGCTTGTCTTCCTGCACCAACGGCGTTCTAAAACTAATGGCCGAGCGGGCGGTACCCGAACTCTGATTGACGCCTCTGCCCTTCCCATTGGATTTCCCAACGGCCGAAAAGCGGTCGGCGCGTGCCGCGAGGGGACCCCCAGCCTTCCTATTGACGTCGGGCCAATGGCCATTGAACGTGGCTGATGACCGACAGAGCCGGGCTGCCAATGAAAACAGGGAGGCGGGGTTTCTTCAGCCCGTCCCGCCCCCTGCTGCTTTGAGCGACGTTGGCGCCGCCCAATTGGCTCTCACGTCCCCTCCCTCCGCTGAACGAGGCTGGGGGTTGTCGGGCGAGTGGCTCTCTCTTTCTGTGTCTCATTTCGCAAGATGGCGGAGGCTGCAAACTGCATCATGGAGGTGAGGGATTGTGGGAGGGGGGTGGCGGCGGCCGTCGTCTCCGTCGGAGGGGAGAGCGCGAGGCCCGCTCCAGTGCCCCGTAGATACCCCCATAGGGTCCCCCACCCGACCCACCGTCAAGCCGTGGGGGTATGTGGGGGGGTCTTATTTGCCTGAGACCCCCATTCCTTGCCTCCCCCCCCGAATGCGGATGGCTTCTTTTGGCCCTAAGTGACCGACGCCCCCCCCCTTTTTTCCTTCCCTTTCTCCTAAACAAGGAGCTTCCCCTGCTGAGTTCCTCTTCCTCCAACATGGAATCGTTCCCCCACAGAATCCTCCCGCCTTTCGTTCCTTCCCCCCCCCCCTTCCCA